GTCTTGCCGACTCAGAAGGAAGAAAACACTGTGCTTACTCGGCCGACTCCGCAGTATATGTAAATGCTGACATTGACACTGGCAGTCAGACAGAAATAGAATCAAGCCACACATACTCGCGATGCTTCGCAAGCTCTCGGATTACTTTTCTAGAAACTCATTCGAATAGTCAGCCTATTCTGCAACAAATCATCGTGATCGGCGTGGCTACGACCCGGTTGATCATTGCAATTCTCATAATCATATGGTTCTTATTTGACGCGTCAAAATTCTGGCCAGCTTCCTCTCTCAGATGTCGTACAAGGGAGGAGAAAAGTAAGCAAAACGGACAATAATCCATGAAGAGATTGGCCTTAGGTGATGCCAAGAGTTGATCAGTTGTTCTTCACAGATATACATACATAATATAAGTAGATCCTCGTCGCTCGAAGGCTAGTTTCCAGCTACCTTAGCCCAGACTCTCTGCACTGACCCACAAAGATTATATTGCGGCTGAGCGCTAATTTGGCAACCAATAATCCATCACCGGTGGTTTTTTAAGGCTGGGATGCCAGCAGCCGATGACTGGAACGTTACCAAGGGGTTTATGAGATCCCGACTGAGGAGCATTGAGAATACATAGCAAGCACTTGACATCGTGTTAGTTGATCGGTCAGCAAGATATTGCTCATCTGTTGGTGCATATCTTGCGCCTCCAATTGTCACCGGGTGGGCATCCCACCAAGCTACTGTAATAACCCAGACCCTTGTAACTAATTAATCCCATTCCCACTCTATTCCGCTCTAGTAGCGACTATTGATAGGTGTCATGATGCCAGGCCTTGGGAAGCAAGAAAACTTAGGATCTGGAAGGAGGATGTTAAAATAAACCTAGCAAAGAACCCCCTAAACTTAGGCTATATTTACCTAAATATTTTTGCCGTTTAGGGTTAAGGTCCTGAGTTTTCTGTCCTCCCCTTGCCAGGGGACCTCTGCGTCATGAGCTCGCATGGGATTCATGAGCCAAGCCGGGAAGATGATGGAGTCTTCAACGGAGGCTGCGAGCCGTGTCTGTAGCAGCAAGACAGACAGCTCATGTGCCCACAGAAGCTCAATGCCCATGTTGATGGGTATTTGAGGATTCTGTTCATGGCAAGTGGATCGGCCCGTCGATTCCATCAACATTCGAGCTCGCTAGGCATATCGGCGGGTTCCTAAACACCAGACGATCAGATGTTTATTACCGCGAAGCGACTCTATTCAGATCTTCCGCGAGAGGCGTATCGTCTTTAATAAATTCCACTTCGCTTGGACTATAGGGAACAATTCAAGGTATATCAAGGCAGAGGCGCGATTTTCTGACATGCCCTGGTCGAGTTGCTCCATATTGAAAGCCTCAATTATGCGTCGTTCCAGATATATCCACGCAAACATATTGGACGAGACTACATTTGCGACATGGCCGGACACTTGCAACTGCCAACCAGACAGAGGGTTCTCCATTGGCTCTTCAGAAGATTGCATAACTCTAGTCCTCATTCCAATACACAGTCAGGTGGTTGTTAAGGAAGGATAAGGTGTTCACGTGACGTTGCACGTGTTTGATTTTCCTACCATGTTTCCTTTGAGATCTGGACCTACTGTACTCCGTAATCTTCATCTAATCTCTTTCTCTTATTAGCCACCAACCGCCATAACTTATAAGTTTGATTGAAAATTGTTGGTCATCTCTCTTGGAGCTTGTGGAGTACGTCTCAGCTTTTGCCTAAAAGGCCCATTCGACTCGCAATGGCGCCACCAATTTACCTATGCCGATAGCTCCCGCTTAACCCATGGTTGGCGAGTCGAGATTACTGGAGGCGCTCCGTCTATTCCCGATGTCTTTCATGAAATGATCAATTTTGACTACTGACACTTTTATCTTCGAGCTGAGATGAATCTGTCACGAGTCACGATCCAAAAGTCATTCTTCTCTGATATGGCAAAATCCGCCTCCAATGGCCAAGATCTGTTTGGGCACGGGGGCTGGAATTGCCATAGCCATTCGCGGTCTATCAATTATTGGCGGATTGAACGTCTCGGGACAATGTGATATCGGCGAGGCCTCTGATTCGCCCACCACACATCTTCAGCAGGGGATCTTCATCAACGACACAGATCTCGGCGAATGGTTCATGTCAGGGACCAACCTGAAAGAACATCACATAGTTATCGCCCAGGCTGAGCCATTGTTACCGGGGATTCTGGCACAAGACCGGCAGTTGTTTATCTTCGATCCTGGAATCAAGTGATTGCATGACAGGACTTACAAGTCTGAAGAATGGTCTTTTGATGCGTTTGAACTTCCTGTGATGGTCAAGACAAGCCTGTGCTTGATCCTCTCGTACGCCCGCCACGAAGTTTCTCAAGAATTCCTAGAACCAAAGACTGCCATCATACTCACCAATACAATGCTATATTCCCGTTCGTACCATGACGTCTGATCAAGATCGACCCCTCCATTGGCCCCTCCCCCACCAGACTGGTCCCCTTAGATCGACGAACTGCGTCCAACAGCCCCTCCTCGTGGTGTTTACTCTGGCTTGTATTCAGCCTCGCTCATACCAAAATTTGCGCCTCATGTGCTTCTAGAAATGTATTGTTTCGCTCTCGTGGCCCTGTTTCTGTCCACGTGCGAGGTATTTCTTCTCATGTTGGTTTATGACTATGGGCATTTAGAAAGAGAAAAGAGTCGCGTTCCGCCTCTTTTCTCCTTCGCAGCATGTCTTCACGATAACTTCCTTTCAAAGCACTTTGCTGCAAGTCAACATGATTGCCGAAGCTCTACCCGCTCCTCAATTGCGCTATCCCAGCCATGACCTCTCCAAGTTTCCTGATACCCTGAAAGGGAAGCGGATCCTCCTCTGCACCGAGTCTTTTGGGCCTGTCAATGGTGTCAGTCGCACGACTTTGATGCTTGTCAACCATCTAAGGGCACATGGAGCTCAGGTCGCAGTGGTTGCGCCACACAACCACACAGAGCACAATACCTTTACGCCGCCGCCATCGCCAACTATGTCCCCTGCAGATAAGCAGCCCGAAGTTAGAGTCACAGGATATCCTCTCCCATTCAATCCCGAGCTCTCTATCGTGTATCCGGTACGCAATTCGACTCTGTACTCAAGAACCTTTGGCGATGATGCTCCACCCGATCTAATCTACCTTGCATCGCCTGCAAGTCTGGGTTTCCAAGTCATGCTTCAACTACGACAGCAGCCCAAGGAGAAGCAAATACCCGTCATATGTAATTTCCAGACCGATCTTGCTGGCTATTGTTCCATCTTATTTCCGGCGCCGCTGAGCCACGTTGCGGTCTTTGCATTCGCAGCTGTCCAGAGTTATCTCTTCAGTCACTCCTCGATCAAGACCATATTCTACCCTTCGAGTTTCGTGAAACGATATTTGGTGGGCCAGAAGGTGCCAGCAGATAAGCTCGAGGTTCTAACACGAGGTGTCAACACTGAGTTGTTCAACCCCCGGATGAAAAGCGAGGAACTGCGAAAACAGCTGGCGCCTAACGGCGAGATCATCTTCGTGACAGTCTCCCGAATCGCTGGCGAGAAAGGCTTTGATTTCCTGGCGAAGGCTGCAAAGGAACTTGATGCTCGAGGACTCGACTTCAAGCTTTACATCGTCGGCGGCAACCGCAATCCTGATGTCGAGAAGGAAGTACAGGAGCTTTTTGATCCTCTGAGGGAGAAGGGCAAGGTTGTCTTCGCCGGTTTTAAGGTCGGGGAAGATCTCGCCACTGCCTATGCTAGCGGTGATGTTTTTCTCCATTGTTCGGTTACAGAAACCTTTGGCCTTGTCGTTTTGGAGTCCATGGCCAGTGGGGTTCCAGTCATCGCCCGTGATGAAGGGGGCCCGTCTGACATTGTCCAGCAAGGAGGAAATGGGTTTCTCATCTCTCCGAACGACCTCGATGGTTTCGTAGCCAAGGCTATGAAACTCGGTCTAGACCACAACCTTCGTGCCCAGATGGGCCACGCCGCAAGATTGTACGCATGCGAGATGACATGGGAGAAGATTAACAACAAGGTTGCCTGGCGCATGTCGGACACCATCTCGGAATGGAAGCGTGAACGGAATGGCCCAGCAAACCGACTCTCATCGCGTCTCAAGTCCCAGGAGCCGCTAATCCCAATCTACGGGTGGCTTATGATGAACGAGGCTATTCGCGAGACAATGACACGGGGTATTGTTGATGCACGACTCATGGGCGGACTGGGTGTCATTCTATCATTCTGGATGGTGACAGGATGGTATATGGTCTTCACAGAATGCTTCCTCTGGGCTAAAGGGCGATGGAGAAGTGCAGAGAGGAGATTGTCAATCTCATAGTTTGACATTATGTCTTGCCGCGCGGCGTTTCGATTATGTGCATGGTATGGAGGAGTTGGAGGAACCAGTTTGCTGTGATTCGATGTTTTCTCATATTTGTATTGGACGGTCCCTACAGCGTTGGAGTTGTTACAGTTGTGCGACTAGCCCATGGTTTCCTTAGCATGGCCATGCACCATGTTAGATGTTATATTACGATACCAAGAATCTCATTACAGTTTTGACACCGACGGGCTGATACAACGTCATGTAACAAGGTTCGGTAAAAGGGATTTCCGGGTTCAGTACCTCACGATGGTGTTTCATGTAGAGGGGAATCGTCCCACAATCTGACAGCTCACCCCAGATGCCCAACATGGGGATGAACTTTACACTGCTTAGTAGGTGATTGTTCAGCCATAGCGGCTAGTCAATTGACGCTATGAGACTATCTATTGTTGTAGGGGGGTAGAAAGTGAATCTAGGGACCATGTGAGGTCGGATATCAACTAAAAAACATATGGTGCCTGAAATATCGGCAGAGTGGAAATGACACGCTTATGAGAGTTAAAGTAGTAAAGAAAAAAGAGTCGACAACGCTATGCATGGCCGTAAGAGTAATGAAAAGCTCGCTTGATTATATCCCAACTTCATGTCCTGCTTCATATCGTCGCCTTCTTGGGTATTGTGACAGCTTGTCTGCGTTTATACATGAGAGCATAGTTGTAGCGCTCATATGTGCCAAAGCCAACAGCCAAGACGAAGATGAGCAGCCAGACGCTCATCATGATAAGACCAATGGGGAGGACCATGAGCTGCACGCCTGGGAGGACAAAGGCGACAGTGCCGTTGTTGAGAGCGGCGACCTGATCGTCGACGGCGGCTGAGGCCATGGCGAAGTCGGACATGACAACATCTTGGGAGAAGACGCCGGTGAGAAAAGCGGCCTCGTTGATGGAGACGTTGGTGCGGATGGTACTGCCTGTGCTATTGCGGGCAGTGAGGGTGAGGGTTGGCATGATATGGCATTCGAGCTCGTCCCTGAGAAAGTCAGTATATGTGAATGAAGTGAGATGTGAGTGTGAAATCTTACATAGTCATGTTATCCGTCATCTTGTCCGCATCAATCTTTCCAACCAACATATATGATTGTAGGAGTTGCATTCCCTCTTGTCTCTTTCCCATACCAGGCTTACCGCCTGTTAGACCTGTGCCATTGACGTCCGCAGGCTGAATGGGCATGACACTTGCACCCTGATATGAGATTCCAACATTGATATCCTCAGGTGCAACAGCTGCAAAACTACCTCGGGGTTGAGAAACTTGATACAGTCGAACATCAGCCTCAAAAACACCAGTCTTGACATCGAGCGAGGGAAGATTATAGCACACGCATGTTCCAGAGGGGTTTGTGCTCTTGTGCAGTCCACCGAGAACTGCTCGGCATGCAGCGTTGGTGTCCATGTTCCAGGCCGTCATGTTCAACGAGCCATCCTTTGTCAGAGGGACATCTCCTGCGGGAAGCTGCTCGACTGTGGCGTTCCCATCGCGCTCAGCGAGCGGTGTTGATAGTAGGGAAACGTATGGTCGGTGGAGAACATCATCAGCTGCTCGAATGAAGGACTCAATGGACATGGCGGGTGATGACTGTGCTGTTACTGAGAGGGCGAAAAGGGCTGCTGCCGCGAGGCGGATTGACAAGGCCGAGGCCATTTTCTCGTGTCTTTTCTTCCAAGCTCTTTCTGAATGCTCTGCGTATCTTTCGTCTGAGTAATTTCTGTAGACGGTTTCTTTCTATTCGTGAGACCGTGATCCGTAGCGATATCCAATCTCGTTTTCTCTTTTCGTCCAAATTAACAGAATAACCTTCTTTTCTCTTCTTTTTTTTTTTTTTTTTTTGCGTCCTGCGGTGAGAATTGTTGTAACTGAGCCACTCACTGTCTGTGTGGAGTGATTATATGCGATGCGTCGAGCTGAATGGAGTGGGTATAGACAGATAGAATCTCAAAATCCCAATAATGAAGTCGTCGTGACAATAAGGTAGCTCCACCACCGGCAACGATCGGTACTTATTATAAGAGATATGGAGTAAGGAAAGAAGAACAAGGAAGCAGAATAAGTTTAAAGTGTCGAAGATCAGCCAAATTGCAGATCGTCTAATAGTAAAAGGAATAAAAAGAAGTACAGTACAAGAGAACAAGGGGGGAAGAAGAGAAAAAATTGGGGACCAGCCCACGCGCCGCTCGAATCGTACCAGACCAAGACTGACCTGGACTGACTTGACTTTTAACAGCCAAAAAAACGAGATTGAAAGGGAGGGGCGAAGAATCGAAAGTAGTAATGGGGCCCGGTAGAGCGGCACAGTAGTCCTTTTAGCTGGCAGAAGGGTTTTGGGGAACGTGCTATCGTGGGACCAGCGGTTGCAAGGGGAATGCTTGGGAGCTGGAGTTGAAGTTATCTGGTTGGCTCAAGAGCAGTTGAAACTATGGAACTGTGAGGCTGTGAGCGGCTATCGAGTTGATGTTGGCGATATAGGTGACATCAACTGGCATCGTGACGGCTGCTGTGCTTCACAATGGCAATAACAAAACACATATCGGCGTTGATGAGTGCCAGGCTTGTCTCGTCTGTGTTCTGGACTTGTCACAGGCAGGGCCAAGATGTCGGTTCTCTTGGCTCCCTCGTTGTGGCGGTGTCAAGATCGGGGCCATGGAGACTAGCGTCGACATGGCTGCAAACTCAATCACGAGAAAAGCGAGCCAGCCAAGCAGTCTTGGCAGTGCAGACCTTGGAGTGACTCTGGTGAGTGTGGTGGGCGAGCTCGTTTCAGGTTGGACTAGGGAGAGGTCGACTTTGGAACCGAGAGGTTTAGCTGCTGTTTGGCTTGGCTAGTGAAACGCTGATAGAGAAAGACTGCGAGATGTGTAATTCTAGTCTACAGGTAATATCGCTCTATCCCGTCAGGCCATATCGTCCTCGACTGCATCTTGACAAGCTCACAATAACCATTGATGCAGTCAGATTAACTTCAATTACCTTATTCAACCCTGGTCAGCCAAGATCGCAGCCCAGGCGTGCCAACGGTCGCTCTAACCTGCATGAGCATGGCCGCCCGTGTCAGGGACCGCTAGGGGCAACGGCTGCCCTTAGCCAGGGGCTCTTTAGGCCATGGCCCCTGTTCCACATGGCGTCTCGCCCGCTAGCTTGCGGCACCAGATCTGGTGGCTATTGGGTGCGCTCCCTGTCGACGTCAGTCCATTGTGAGTCGGTGATGGCTTCATTTTCAACTCTTATTAGACGTTTCTCATGGACTTGGAATTCTCCATAAACCAGAGGATTTATTTACCATGGCGCTTCGAAAAACTCCCATCAACGGTTTTTGAAACAGGGCATCTGTCGACTTTTCAACTCGCCTGCCACATTGTTTCTAGCGCCCAGGGATAAGGTACAGTGGTCAATTGAGTCAGTGGAGGGCAGGCTTTTCCTCAACGATCCTCAGCTGCAGAATTTGTGGATGTTGATAGTGGCGCCAGATGAGGCGAAAAGTGTAGTGGCAGAAACGGCGTCGCGACGGTGAAACTCTCTTGCAACAGGAACGACTACCATCCGATCGGTATCTCGACGGCTTAGGTATGTATGATCGATCGCCTTGGAAGCGCGGCTGATACCACAACTCAGATATTGTTCTCGACCTCGGGCTTAGCTTAGGGCATAACTAAGACCTGGGATGAAACTTGTTGCAGGCTCTTTGCGATAAGACTACAAGCCCTATAACAGAAGTCACGTCACCCTGAGATGCAAACATCTTGGCGAATGTTTGGGAACAGCTTGTAACTTAGTGATGATCATCAATTAATACTACGCTGCTGTCAAAACACCTCAAGAAGAGTGACGCGGTTGAATAGACTGACTGACTAACTGGGTCCGAAACAAGATTCAGAGTTGATGTTCCAAATCGGAGAGTTTACAAAGTTTTCACGTTTGTTTTTCGTGACTGCCGGTGTCGGTAATATTGCATCTCGTCAATCTTATAGCTTGTCTACTAACCTAGTGGTGATGTGATAATTAATACCTAGCTAGATCAGGGTGGCTGCGGCGTAGCCAGCTGAAATCAGCCAAACAGCTAAAGCCTAGAAGAGGTGGTATCTTAAGATGCTTTTCGATTTATCTTGTCGTGACTTCAGCCAAATAGGTATACATGCACCTTGATAATCTTAGGCTCTTCAAGATCCCACAAAGATGGCATCGCCAGAAGCGACCGAGGCAGAGCAAGAGCTCTTCTTCATCAGTCTCAACCATAACAAACCAATCACAGTGATACTTTTACATGGTCTGCTTGACTCACACCTTGAGTGGTCCTACGTGATTTCTTACTTATCCGATTATCACATCATCGCTCCCGATATCAGCGGTCATTCTCAATCTCGCGATATCCTCCCTGCGAATATCTCCAGCTCCGCAGAGCGAGTGGCCGTGCTCATCCGGCGATACGCACATGACGGCCAGGCCCACGTTGTAGGCCTCTCCATGGGTGCTTTCATCACTCTCCGTATCAGCCGGCAACATCCGGAGCTGGTCCTCTCTGCCACCGTCACCACGGGGCATCCCATGGAGGGCCACTGGGCATGGGTTGTCCGCTATCCGAGCATCACCTATCACGCTATGTGGGTGCTTCTCGAACTGGTACCGACATGGCTGTATATGCTCGTGGCTGTCAAAGGTCGCGGCATGCATCGCCATGAAGAACTCCTAGAAGAGATGCGGCATAACAGGAGATGGGAAGTGATTCGTGCTGTGGACACGGGGCTCCTGGAGCTCAAATGGGAAGACATCAGGACGTTACCCGTGAAGACGCTGGCGATTGCGGCAGAAGGCATTGACGATGTTGAGGCGGTGAGGAGAATGGGTAGAGAAATGCCCGTCGAGGGCTCACTGGCTGCAGTAGTCAGAGGAGCAGTACATACGTGGAATTCGCAGAAGCCAAAGCTGTTTTCCGATGTGATTAGAGCGTGGATTGAGCAAAGCGTCGTTGCCTGCAAGCCTCGAGATCTTGACGTGAAGTGGTTACTTGGCTACCCTATAGAGTTATGTCTGGAGCAAATAGAGCACCTAATGAATACAATAAGTCGCAGGGGCTCATACCTATATAGCCAGCTGTGCGTTTAGTATTATATACTTATTATATAGCTAGCTATATAAATAAGGCTATATAAGCTGCTTTAATTAAATCTATATAGCTAGGGGACTATTAGTTAATTTATCTTCTTATTATATTTAT